ATGAAAATACTAGTCGCAGTGGATGTTTGAAAGTCAGAATTTCTAGATGCATATATATGCTATTTATAGCCATGAAATTTATAATTTAGATTTTATTTTTATTATTTGTCTCTTAATATTCATTAGCTGAAAATAAGGGTAAAGGTTATCTATATAGTAATAAATAAAATTTGGCACATAGGTTCCTTAAGTGATGTAAATGAGCACTAAGAAGGGATTTTTTGAAAATTCGACCGCTAAGGGGGTGAAATTAGGGATGAAAAGCTGCATAAAACTTTGTTAAAATCTGGTTTAAGAGTATGAAATTGTTCACGAGTGCTCCTTGACTGACGTAATTGAACACTAAGGGGCAATTTTGGAAATTCGCTCGTTAAGGGTGTGATATGGGGGGTACTTTGTATACAAAAAAAGCATGTCCTAGGACTACGAAATTTTGCACAGAGGTGCCTTAAGTAGCGTAACTTAACAGTTCGATTATACAAAGCGATTTTAGGAAATTCTTCTACTAAGGGGTGAAACTGGGGGTGAAATTTTGCATATTTTTTTAAAATTAGTCCGAGGAGTTTGAAATTTGGAAATTGTTAATTAAGCGACGAAAGTGAGTACTCAGAAACGAATTTTGGACATTCATCCCCTAAGAAATAAGGGATGAAAATTGGTATAAAAATTTGTCAAAATCGGTTTTAGAAGTATGAAATTCTGCGTAGACGTTCCTTATGTAACTTAATTTAGCACTAAGAGGCAATTTTAGGAAATTTTCCCTCTAAGGGGGTGAAATGAAGGGTGAACGTTCTGAAAAAAAATCTGTCCTAGAAGTATGAAAATTTGCACAGAGGTTCATCAAGTGATGAAAGTTATACTCAGAAGCGAATTTTGGGCATTCATCCCTTAAGAAATAAGGGATGAAAATATGTACAAAAATTTGTTAAAATCGGTTTTAGAAGTATAAAATTGTTCGCAGACGTTCCTTATATAAGGTAATTTAGCACTAAGAAGCAATTTTTCGAAATTTTCCCTCTAAGGGGGTGAAATGAGGGGTGAACTTTCTGAAAAAAATCTGTCCTAGAAGTATGAAAATTTGCACAGAGGTTCCTCAAGTGATGAAAGTGAGTACTCAGAAGCGAATTTTAGGCATTCGCCCCATAAGAATTAAGGGATGAAATTTGTACAAAAATTCATTAAAATCGGTTTTGGAAGTATGAAATTTTGCGCAGACGTTCCTTATGTAACGTAATTTAGCACTCAGGAACAATTTTTGGAAATTCGCCCTCTAACGGGGTGAAATGAGGTGTGGACGTTCTGAAAAAAAATTGCTTGTTATTACTAAATTACGTTACATAAGGAACAAACAGAATTTCATACTTCTAAACCCGATTTTAACAAATGTTTGTACAAATTTTCATCCCTTATTTCACTCTCTTAAGAGATGAATGTCCAAAATCCACCTGTACAAAATTCCACACTCGTAGGACTGTTAGTTTTAACTAACAATTTATTAAAGTGCAACTATATAAAAATTATACAGGGTGGCGCCTCTCATATGACTCGGAGGCTCCAAGGAGAACGACCAATTCGTATTGAAATGAAATTTTGTGATCATATGTAAGTTAATTCTGCGTACGTTTTAAAAATATAGAGAGTTCTACAGGGTGTCCCCAAAAAAAGTTACACATCAAATTTGTATTTTTTTGTAAGGGAATACCCCCTTTATTAATTAATTTTTAGATTCTAAGAGAAAAATAAAGGTGTGTTTTATTAGGGAAGTATATGACTGAAATGTAAGGTTTTAGACTTACTTAAGATTTTGAAGAACAATTTTTAAATTTCAAGAAAAACTACCTAAATTGGAATTTACTCTATTGCACTTTAAATCAAATTAAAACCTGACCCATAAAGTTATACAGGGTGGGGCAAAATTAATGCTGAACATTGGTATAACCTGTATAACTCCTTTAATACCCACCCTGTATAACTCCTTTAGTTTAATTGAATCACCCAGAATATTATTCCGATATTCAATGGGAAATTCATGTCACTTCCAAATACTATTAAGGTTGCCGGCCTACCCCTCAAACAAAGATTTTCCTAGATATTTTCATTTCTATGATTTAGTGTGAATAGATCTTTATTATTTGATAAAATCTAGGGTGGCTGTGATATGTCTGACGTTACTTCAACATAGCTGTCAAATTAGTTCAACTTTAGCAACTAGTTATCATTTTGTGTCAGTTCGTCAGTTGAAACAAAAAAAATCTAAGAAATTTTCCGAAAATAGAAACTTATCCTACATCAGAGAGAATTGATATGATTCTATTAGTTAGCTCCTGATTTTATCTAGTCTGGGCTTTTTATTTGATTAACATATATCAAATAAAAAGCCCAGACTAGACAGGCTGTTAACAAAACTCGACCAAACCAAACCAAACTATTGTCTGAAACTGCATTTTTTTACTTACTAAATATGAATTTTACTTTGTTTTGTTGATCTTTGAAAGGTGTATAAAGTCGAATCATTTTAGATTGGACATTTAAATTTTATGGGATTTTCGGGATCCCGGAATTTAATATCGGGATTTCGGAGATAAACATACACGCCGCCGGGATCCTGGGAGTTCGGGATTTCAGGAAACTCTAGTCGTGAGATTAATGATGTACAGATGCATGTCATGTTGATTTGGAAGTGACAATCGATAAGATTTATCATATAATTTTACATACCTATTAAACGACAGCGATCTTCATTTCCAAGCCCACTCCCATGCTTTTTTTTTCTATCGTACGGTATATTCACTAACTGCATTACCTACTTGTAATTTATAACCGTTTATATTCACTGATTCATTTATAATTTGTATCCACTTAATATTACTTGATTTATCCATCGTAAACTTTGCATAGATATAGAAATATAACGATGGACAACTCTTAATGTGTTAAATTATACCCTATATACGATCGAAAAAAAAACGGCGTCCGATTGGTTTGGAAATGACGATCGATGACATTCCTCATATAATTTTACATATCAAGTGACAGAGATCTTCATTTCATAGCCATCGCTGACGCCGTTTTTTTTTTCGATCATACGGTATATGGTAAAAGCCATCGATCACCATTTCTAAGGTAACTTAACGCCGTATTTTTACATACAAAATGTGCAAAAAAATTCTATATGAATGAACTCACAATTTTCTATCCACTTTGTACATAAATTAGGATCTCTTGACGCATGAAACTTAAACACATATACACCTGATTTCCGAGAAATCTCACAATTGTAAAATTGACACTTATTACCAGACATTTTAATAATAATTATCACTAATCACACAGTTGTAATCAAAGACAGTCAAAGGTATACAGTATATTACCATCACAGATTACCATATATTACCCGGCTTTTAAAATATCCATTAAAAACAAAAAAACACTAACGACATATCTAAATCTTCTATCTTTGTCGCATATGGTTCGTTCCTGTATTATTCTGTGATAAGGGAAGGAATAGAGATTTTCTGTGATAAGTGGTAAAGCTAGGTTTTCATATGTACAAATTTGGCAAACTTTCCAGGAAATTTGGTCATATTTTTATTATAAAATTATTTATCATAAACAAATTTATTATAAAAAAAAAATTTGAACGTATATTCAAATTTTAAACGTTTCAATTAATAAATAACGTAAATCACTTTTAAATTAAATTTAAGAAAAAAAAATCAAAATTAATAAAACGTAAATCACTTTTGAACAAATCATTATTTTAATTTCAAATTTATATTTCGAAGTTATATTACAAGTTATTTACTGTTGTCTTATACAGAGTATATCAAGACAAATGCGAAACTTTAAGGGGTGTATTCTTTGTTATTTGTCAACATTTTTAAAATAAGCTGAAGAGGTTGAAATAAACTATTTCTAATATTCGTTAATTTGACAAAAAACTGGAGTAACGATATGGAAAAAATGGATAGATTTGTATATTTAGAATGTTTTTATGACTTGCAATTTTTCCATTAAATTCATTATTTGAAGTTAAAAAAAAATGTAAATCATTATGTATTGGGACCAAAAAAATATTTTAGCAAAGAAGCTGTTGGCCTTAAAAACAGTTTTATTTTCTACTACTGTAAAATATTTTTACAAACGACATATAAAGATAATTGATTGACAAACATGTTTTAAGCCTTCCTAAATATTCCTTAAAATAAAAAGATTAACAGATGGGAATACATATTATACCGTATGATCGAAAAAAAAAAACGGCGTCCAGTTGGCTGGGAAATGGCAATCGATGACATTTCCCATATAAATTTACATTTAAAATGACAGCGATCTTTATTTCATAGCCATCGCTGACGCCGTTTGTTCGATCATATAGTATATCAAATAAAGTATTATTAGAAAAGCTCACTAGATTGTTTTCTAGTAAAAAAGACCTTATTTTGTCACAACAGGTTACATTTTTTTGTTTTAAATCAAGTAGGTTTTAAAAAACTACAATAGGTAAAAAAGTTTCTAAACAAATAGAATATCCAAATTAATTTATTTCCAATGACAATAATGTGTAAGTTTGTAATTAAAGTTAGTTAATAAGAATAATAGGTGTAGTATATTTCAACATCATTCACTGGTTTTAAAAACATCAAAAAATATGCATGTGTTTTCATAGTATAAATATGAATTGTTCCTTACGTTAGTTCTTATTGATATAAAAGCAAAGAAGTATAAAAATTAAAAGCTGCAATTTTATTAAAAATATGTTATTCTAACACATATTTTTTTAACTGTAATGTTCTAAATTGATCAAAATATAAATGTTATTTTTTTCCTAGGAAAAATAAAATTCATAACTTAATTTTCATAAATAAATTTATTTCTATTAAATTTTATAGAGCAATTTGTATTACAGTTTTATTTCACATATTTTGTAATACTGCTTCGGTGCAGTGCCCCATTGCTATCTGTGAGTTCATTTAAATTATGATATTAATTATCTTCGCATCATCATGGGCTCTAATCAACTGTAGAGTATTCGTCAATCAACCTGAAATATGTAATATTATTTACTTTATATTTACGAAAAATTATCATTTTCTTTTTATGAAAATTTTGAGTTTAAATTTAAATGTGATTATAATAAATATACATCAGTATTTAACATTTTATCATAGGTAATATTCTATATATTACCTGTGATTTTATGCTAAAATGTTTAGTTTTGTGAAAATATTACTTACCTATAATATTTAAACGAGTTCCTGAATGTACAATTTGTTTATCACGATGTCAAGTTCTAAATCTTGTATTGGTTGTCTAAAACTGTTTGATTTTGCTTAGTTATATTGTATCCTATATTTTATTAAACAAACTCAAAATAATGTTTATAATTACCTTCATCAGCCTATTCCAGCATATCAAGAACCCATTCCAGCATATCATTAAAGTTATTATTATCACTTATCATTATCAGTCATTATGTAGTTATTTGTTCATTTGTTGTTGTTTGTTTTCAAAGATCATTTTTGAGGTTAATGTCATATGAAACTTTTCGTAATTAGGCAACTGGTAAATGACGTGTGACGATAAATTAATAAAATAATAATGAACGTATTAAGTTAAATATTTATATATTAATTTAACATATCTATTTCATGTTTATAAATTACATAATTTTTAATTTGGTATACCTTTAATTTTATATATTCATAATGAAATGAAATATATTTCGATATAACGTTTGGCAACCACGCAACTGAAGTGCAAGCGACGTCTGTGCAAGAGAAGCAAAACCTCCCAAAAAAGTGAGAAAAGAAATCTAAAAATTTCAGATTATTCAAATGTCACTCCAATATTTTTCCAAATTGGAGTGAAATTAGGGTGACAATTTTTAACACGTAAGGAGCCATCTGGATTATGTGTTATCTGTGGCGCTAGTATCTAAAAGTGACACTTGTTTAGGCACTAGTGCCTAAAAGTAAAAAATTAAACGTTAGAAACAATGAAAATATTTATTTTATTTTTGTCTCTAAGAGAAATGCAAGTTAACTAACGTGGATAGAGTTTCAGCAGCTTATTGAATAACAAAAGATTCGTCATTATCACTCATTTTTTCACAAAACTTTGTAGGAAATACGGCGACGTTTGAACCTGACAGAATTTTGTCATTAAACAATGCCTTAGAAACCGATTACCAGAACATTTTAAAAAATGTTTAAAAATAATTAATAATAATAGCATGAAAATTTCAAATTATCCGCTTTCACAAAAAATCTTGTATGAAATTCGTTGCGAAAAGAGGGTTTTAAGCACGAGACGCAAAATTGTCCAACGAGATGAAAGCCTAGTTGGACAATGCCTCCAGTTCACATTCATTTCGCAACGTGTTACATAAATAGCTATTTTGTGAAAGCGTTTCGAAATTCATAGTTTTTGATATTTATTTGAGATTGGAAATTACATTCTTTTAGGCACTAATATCTAAAAGTGACACTTGTTTAGGCACTAGTGCCTAAAAGTATAAAATGAAACGTTAGAAACAATGAAAATATTTATTTATTATAAATCTTAAATGTACAATTATTTAATTTGGTAATGTAAGACCCACTTAATTTAGTGATCTTATTTTTTTTGGTATTTTTTTTTAACTGCAAACATAGGCGCTACTTACAATATAACCATAGTATAAGGAAAAGAGTAGTTGCACTCTCGCAAATATTTTCTGCCAGTTTTTGCATGCTGGCAGGTTGCAAAGCGTTTCAGTTGAATTCGGTCCGTCGAGCTGTGAGGTTCAAGCGTTGCGTCCGAGCACAGGGACGGATTGACAAAAAATGAGTCCCTTACTGTGCGCTGCTATGAATTGTGGAAATAATTCAAAAAATTGTTCTTTGAATCTTTTTAGATTTCCATCGGATGTAAATCGGTAAGCTGATAGTAATTATCAATAAACATTCAATTATATTTGTTTATTTTAGAAGCTGAGATATGTAATTAATTAAATATTATTACTTTTTTTAGCATGTGGGCAGATTTTAAAAATAGTTTTTTAGATATACAGGTTGTCTCAAATCTGCGCATGAAAATATTATTTGGTCAGGAGATTTGCCATAAAATTTTCATTCCAATAATAATTTACGAGATAATTTATATAGACTGGTTTTTGAAACAATTTTAGAGTAAACATTTTGTACATCTAAAGTCTCCGCAAATTATTCATATTTTTTAATTGAAAGAATTTTATAATAGCATAATCTATACTAATATATAAAATCCTTAAGTGACTGACATACTGATTAATCACGATCCTGCTCAAACCACTCAACGTAAGAAGCTTAATTTTGGCATACAGGTTGATTCTAGGGTGTAGAAGTTCGATAAGAAGGGATTTTTCGAAATTCCAGTTCCAAGAGGGTGAAACCACCCCTCAAATATTACAATATTTTTTATTTAAAAAACGGTCAAGTTTCCGAAACAACGCTTAAACACGTATATTTTATTTTGTTTTTTACATATTTTAAGATTTTTTAAAAATGTATACAGGGTGTTTCGAAAAATCTGGTCATTGATTAATCACGATCCTGCTTAAAGCGCTTGACGTAAAAAGCTGATTTTTGGAAAACAGATTGACTTTAGCATGTAGAGGTTCGAAAAGAAGGGATTTTTCGAAATTCGAATTCTAAGGGGCCGAAACTATCCCTCAAATATTAAAATATTTTTTATTTAAAAACCGGTGAGTTTTTCGGAAAACCTCTTAAACACGTACATTTTATTTTGTTGTTTTACATATTTTAAGATTTTTTATAAATTTATACAGGGTGTTTCTTAAAATATGACTGCTTAAATTGCCTGACGTTTAAAGCTGATTTTTGGCAAACGGATTGACTGTGGGGTGTAGAGGTTCGATAAGGAGGGGTTTCTCGAATCTCAAATTCCAAGAGGGTGAAAACGCCCCTCAAATATTATAATATTTGTTATTTAAAAAACGGTTAGTCTTTCGGGAAAACGTTTGGACAAGCATAATTTATTTGTTTTTTTTACATACTTTGAAATTTTTTAAAAAATCATACAGGGTGTTCCAAAAAGTTGGATAATTTCTTAACCACGATTCTGCTTAAACTGCTTGACGTAAAAAGCTGAATTTTGGCAAACGGATTTTTCGAAAGTCAAATTCCAACGAGATGAAACTACCCCTCAAATATTACCAAGTTATATAATAATATAAATAAAATAATAATAAAAAAAGTTGTAGAAAATCTCTGAAATACATAAGTAATAATATAAAAATGTCATTACATATTTTTTCCTCATTTCTTCCCATCAGAAGATTTTCAGATACAGAAGAATTGTGACCCACATGAAATGTGAAAATATTCTGTTTTCAAGCAAGTTTCTACTCAAAGATCAATTTTTTTTATTTTATTTTATTGTGAACTCATATTTTCCTAAATATATATCTGTGAAACTATGGCGAGTGCCACGCCTCTACCAAAACTATACTTTGCCTAGTTAATAGACCACGACTATACAGTACGTCAGTCGTCACGGGAGGCGAGAACAAGATCATATAAAGTGGCAGAAAAAGAACAAAGGATTTGACAAGGAGTAAATCTACTAGTTTCCTTATACTATGATATAACTAATAGAATTGTCTTAACGAATAACCAGGCTGACTGTCTTTGTTGAGGTATTTAGATCTTTACCTGTAATTAAAGAAAAAGTATCTGAGCAACCAGAATGCAAACAATAATTTGCTAAAGTAAATATGTTTATAGAATATATTAAACATTGTGTCTATTATCATCAACAAATAGAGGTAATATTGAGTGTGCAATGATACTAAGGGCAGAGTCTCGCGAAGTATCTACACCAACTATTACCATCATTGAAAATCAAATTTGATCTTGTAAACACTGGTCTAATGTTTGCTATTGCTATATTTACTAATGACATCGAAATGAATTTATTTAGAGGTCATTGATATTTTACTACAAACTAGCTAAATATTTTTGAATATTATTTTTATTTTTTTGTTCTTTGACATTATAAACATTTATAAATGTTTATTTTAACAATAAGACTGACAATATTATTTGTATAATGTTTTGTATTATCTTTTGTTTGTTTGTTTGTGTACCTTGTTTTTTTACTTTGTTTGTTAGTTTACCTTTGTCTACAAATTGAAAAATTTTTTGACAGTAAAGGCATTTATTTATTTATTTATTTATTTATCAAATATTTCGATCGTGCAATGGGTACTAAGGGCAGAGACACGCGAAGTACCCCGTCGCAAATATTTGTAAAACAATACTGAAGGGCAGAGATACGCGACAGTATATAAACAACAACGATAATGTTGAGTGTGCAATGATACTAAGGGCAGAGTCACGCGAAGTATCTACTCCAATTATTATCACCAAATATTTCGAACGTGCAATGGTTCTTAAGGTAATGGTTCTGTTTATTTGCATCACCCATCTTTCTGAGAAGAATAATAATGTTGATGGTATTTTTCGTACCTTAAATTCTTTAGGCATAGCCGTAGAATAAGGGTAAAAATAATATTTTATACAATTTGTCGAATATACATATACATATAACCATATTAAATGTATGTTCACAACAAATGGATACTAAGGGTAGAGACACGCGAAGTATCCCGTCGCAAATATTTCCAAAATAAAAGAAACAAATACATATTGAGAGTAAGGAATAATCAATAATAAAAATCAGTTCAATAATATCCAAACTAAAATAGCCAATCAATAACTCTCTCAATTAAATAATATTAAATAAATAAATTTCAAATACAAAGATAATCATAAAATCATTATAATTACATTAAGGTTACTCTGTGAGAAAACTCACCAATTTATTCTGGCTGGCACAAAACACCGACGCTACGCACTTTCCGACTGTTCACTCAATAATGATGAAATTATATTATTTTTTTCCAAAAGCAGCCAAAGTGCGTTCTTAGAAATCTGACTAAAAAAATCGATAATGCCCGCTTGGACCATAGCCGTCCGCTTAGTAAAGTGCTTATTTTGTATTTTGAGAAGATATAATTATACAGGGCGGTACATATGGGAATATATAAAAAATTCTTACAGTAATATCTACGTTTCTGTTCAGGTAAATCATGGTACGGAGCATCGAATATTTACTCCACAGAGACTTTAAAGTAGTGGATAACTTCATGAAATAGGCTAGCAATACCTTTTCTGTGAAATTCTCAACGTGTTTTTCTTTGACCCAGGTTTCAAAGTTGTTGTAGGTGGTCTCGTATAAGTTTTTCGACTACTCGAGCACTAACGTGGATAGCACAGTTTCAGCAGCTTGTTGAATATCCAAAGACTCGTCATTATCACTCATTTTTTCACAAAACTTTG